TCGAAAAATTCGTAAGGAGGGGCGTTCGTAACTAGAGGTACCACTGTATATTGGTCCCTTCTTGAATATCGTTCTGGAATATGAACATAAAGTACCCTTGGGGATTAATTTTTCACCTATTGTTATTATGGCTTATTTCTGTTGGATTACTTGCTTTTTAAATAACCTTTATTTTTTTCTTTACAAAACAATCATTAATGTTAAAGAAAAAAGAAAATTTGAAACAAAATTAAAAGTACAAACTAAAAATACAAAGTAAGAAGAGAAGGAAAAAAAGGGAAAAAATCTACCTCCTATTTTATACTTGTCAATAGTCACTGGTTTACCAATGAATTCACTACTATAATATGAACAGTACGAGACATTATTGCCATAGTAACAAATATTGCTGCGTTCTTTGATTAGTAGAGAATACTGCCTTTTCCAAAACAGATAAATCACACATTTCCGACAACCATTCCTTGACATCTGGAATGATATCACTTTTCCAATTTCTTAAGATAATTCTTTGATTACTTGATAATGCTTCCATTGAAGCACTGTGGCAATGCTTAATTTAATTAATTCAGTTAGTGTAGTTACTGTAGCTGAAAATCCCATCTAACTTCAATGATGCCATGATTTTCCTGCTTTGCCCTCCGTGAACCTCTATTTTTATTTATTTATTTACAGCCCAAAGGCCTGAAAGCAAGTTACAAATATAATCTAGACTTAGATAAAACAATGTAACAGATAAAATATTTAATAAATATTACATGATACACTTAAAAGCCCAACTCATTGATCTGTTACTAAAAACCTTGTTTTTATAGCCATAGTTAAAAATCTGGCTGTTGCCATTGTCATCTCAGGATTTTCCTCTGCAAGTAAAATTTTTACATACTCAGAAATATCCCTTCCTGATTTAGATTTTAAAATAGCCCATATTAATTTAGCCAATGTGGATCTCATCTGTAAAAAAGAATGTTCCCATATAGTCTATAGTTACTTAGTGGTAGGAAAAATTAACCCAGCGCTTCAATTATTTCCATAATCATGACTTATAGCATCTTCATAGTATCACCACACCGTAGCTGAAGAGATATAAAGCCGCTCAGTCATGGCATTGCAATCAAAACCTTATGCCTTTTTTTTTGGACAATCAGAGGCACTTTCATCTTGAACTCCCTTTTCTACATTTTCTTGTCTTTGTTCATCTGTCTTTTCCTCGCACGCAAAAGAAATATGTAGTGGGGCAATAGACAAACCAAGGAAGATACACATTTGTTTCCGAGAGGGCTGAATGTCTCTGCTGCTTTATAACCTAGTGATGGATCTCAATACTTTTAGCTTAAAAGAAGCCAAGAACATTTGCAGACGGTCAAATCCTGTTCACACTGGAGGACGGGTGTAGAGTTCTACTTTTTATTTATTTATTTTCATCTCATAGATTTTATTTATTTATTTATTTATTTAATCACATGTATATGGCCGCCCATCTCACAAGAAGCAACTCTGGGCGCTTACAACAATCAATAAAAACAACCAATATATTAAAAAAATAATTATAAAATATAAAAGTCAGTATTAAAAATGGAAAAAACACTATAAAAAATTAAAATATACGAACCGCATGGAGGGAGTACAAGATCAACCACAATGGAGCCATCTAAGAACGTCTCCAGTTCCCTGAGAGCCCCAGGCCTGCTGATATAACCAGGTCTTGAGGGACTTCCAGAATTATGACAGGGATGGAGCTAACCTGACTTTGGAGAGGGGAGTCCTGGGCTATTTAGATAGCCACACATCTCAAATGACTTTGGGCCACACTTCCAACATTAAAATAATAAAAACATTTAAAAACGTAAAAACCCATAAACAACAAACAGCAATCAACATAACCAGGAGACGGGCTCCTTCTCACATCCAGGGCCCCAGACCCAAGCACAAAACTACATCTTCAGGGCCTTATGGAAGGCCAACGGAGAACTTTCATGCACAAAAATATGTCAGCAATTTATGAAGTACAGGAACGCCAGGGAGATAAATAGAAAAATTCTGTTTCACAATAAACAGAAAGCCGTCTTGCAGACTAGAAGCCCAAATAACAATTATTTAAAAGAGATACTGGCTATTTTATTTCCACAATGATTCACAGGCTTATCCATAATCCTCAGAAATCTAAAGCACATGGTCCAAACCATTCTGTTCTAACATCAGTTCATCTCTTCCAAGCTATAGATGAACTGGTTGAATACATCTCTTTGGGTTTCCTGTAACTGCTACTTGGACTCAAGTATTGCTTCTGCAAATGGAAGTTCCTAACAGCCCGATCAAGCCCTTAACAACCCTCTTCCTTCTCTGTGAAGGCATCTCATCTCTTCTGAAGCCTACCATCACATATAGTGGCATGGAGTTCCATCAGCTATCGACATGCATTGTGAAAAGACAGAATCCTTTCATTCTGAATGTCAGAGCAAGACTGAGAACTTCTTGAGAACTTGCAAAGCAGCTATTCTGTTTCATTGCTTGTCCTGCTTATATATAAGAACAGGGAAAGCATCTGGTATCCACATGGAAAGGCAATTTGCCTTCCCATTGAGGTCCCACTCTGAAATTAGGTTGAGTGCGTGTTGGGGGGAGCAGATGTAATCTGAAGGAAGGCTCTTATTTTTGTCAAATCTCTTTGAAAGAGAAAGAGAGAAAGAATAGCCATATTCTGAAGACTCAATACCAATTCAAACTAACAAAAATAGCATGCTAATGAAGTTCCTCAAATTCAGTGATTAATACATTGAGGGAGGATTTTTCAGTGAAGAAATTGACTCAGCAAAAGGTTACATTTTGGCATTTCAGAGTACTTTGGGTGACTTTAGGTAAACCAGAATTATCTGCCAATTTTCTCACTTGGTGTTCCTATTTACTAGCGTCATCTCTTCCCATTTTACTTTGCTTTCAGATTTGCAGGAGTATTTACTGATATATCTGTTTTGTAAATTATGATTGAGATAGTGAAAAAAGAAAAAGGAAAGGGAAAAGCGAAGCGAAGCGAAGCAAAGTGAAGAAATAGACATTACTGTTTTCCCTCTTTCTTCCCTTCCTCCCTCCCTCTCTTCTCACTTTTTCTTCTTGTGGTTTATCACTTTCATGCCTTAGCCAATATTTTCATCTTGCTCCTTTCCATCGCACTGCTGATTTCTGCTGCCCCTTGGTTCCAGAACTGATCAGAAAAGCAGCTTGGCAAGAGAAGCAGACAAGATCCAGGGGACCGGTTACCTACCTTCCGACCTGGGAGCTGAGAAGTTGGTGTCTCTCGCTGAGGAGGAAGCCAGCTTCTGCCGAAAGCGCCTGCATTTGTACAAAGGAGAGAACAGACGGAAGGGAGGGTGGGCAAAGGGAGGGGCCTCCAGAGTCCAGTCAAGAAGCTGGCTACATCTGTAGTTGTCTCATCACTCGGAAGAGAAGGGGTCTGTGGAACTTAGGGGGAAAAGGAACTTAATTCTTTTTTTAATTGAAGGTGGCCTTGGGAAGGTCATCCCAGGATGCTAAGGGAGAACACATGCGTTAAAGTCCACACATCTTAAAGTTGCTGAGGTTGCAAAACACTGATCTATTGCATGCCACTGCTGTATTCCTGGGTTATTCATCTAGTACAGTGTCTTTCAACCTCGGCAACTTTAAGGTGTATGGGCTTCAACTCCCAGAATTCCCCAGCCAGCAAAGTTACCAAGGTTGAAAAACACTGATCTAATACGTGGTTCTGTGTTGCAGCAGGTATCTATGCCTCTTCCCCAACCCCACAACATGTTTAATGATAGGGGAAAAATTAACACAGTTTTCAGGAAATGTTAATAAAATAATGCATGCTGTAGTGGATCTTTCTTTCTTTATAAGTGCATGATAAATGGGTAATATTTCTGCTCTGGACTGTTTTAGTAATTCTTCTGTGTGTGTGTGTGTGTGTGTGTGTACACACACACACACACACACACACACACCCCTCTTACTCATCTCAAAAGTAAAACCATCTCACATGCATAAAAGGTAATGCTGAGGCATGCTTAATATAGTCAACCATACCACAAACTTTTCTCTTTGGCATTTTTTTTCTTCCTAGTGGTTTTTTCTGCAGGTACAGGGTCTGCTTTTTTGCGGGGAGAGGGAGATCAATCGAATGTTGATCCATTGGTTGTGACAGGAATTGACTCACCAGACTGTCGCCCGAGCCTGACGCTGTGGGCAAAGAGAGATTGTTAAAAATCACTTATGTGTAAAAAAAAGTTAGATAAGGACTGGTAAAGAGATTTTGATGTTCTTTTTAATACCTGAGTTTTCCCTTTCCCTTTCCCTTCCACCCTACTGAGGTGGAGTCTCATGAGATTGCCATGGGCTTGCATAATCCAGTCTAAATCTTGGACATAATTCATCAGGAGAAACAGCTTAGCTTTACCCAATAAAATGCTGGTCTCTCTTAATGGGGTTTTATGACTGCTATGGCGTGAAAAGATCTTCCTACACTGCTGGGTAAAAATGTGCTCCACAGCCAGCAACGTTGTCTTCTTCTGCTCCAGTTCATCTGACAGTTCCTTTAGATCTGTATCTCCTGAATCTCTCCTCTGTATCTTGTGCATATCAGTAAACACAAAACACATCATTTCACTTCTTGTTAGGACACTACTGGTCAAGCAACTGAGAGCGTCTCAAATAGAGTGTGGACATTCTTCAACTTTTCCCTAGCTCCCCAAGGTAGTGGTCCTGGTTCAACCAAACTTTTAGCCCCAAAGTAACACTTCTGATTTTTCTTAGAAGGAGAGAGATTTCCCCCTCTCCTGAATATGGGTTGGATTCTCCATCTCTGCCATATCACCTACAAATCCAATGTATTATGCCCATTTGTCATGCTCACACTCAGACTTGGTGTGAATCTGTATTGTTTTTAAGATTGTTTTAGTCTGGGCTGTCTGTTTGGTTTGATGTTTTATTGGAACGAGATGCTTGTTTAGCCCCAGAGAAGATGCTGTGAGAACACTGGGTCCCACAGGTGCTGCAGTTGAGGACCTGGGCAATAAATCAGGCTTACACACACCATGGCTTAGGGGGTGCATGAACAATGGTTTCGATCCTCTCACTTCCTAACTCAACAGCCAAGAGGAAGGTCAGCAGCTGTGTGGCAGCTACAGAAAGGGCAAGAACAGGATGGCTTTTCAACTGTTGGCAAGGGGGGTTGAAAAAGGTCAAGATGGTGGCCATGACTGCATGATTGAAGCTACTATCCTGATGAACCCTAAGCAACAGCATGCAACTGGCTGAACTTTGGCCATATGCTCCACTAGGGATGGGGAACCTGTGGCCCACTATACATTTTTATCCTGGCTAGAGCTGCTGGGAGTTGTAGTTTAGCACGGTAGTGGGTCAGGGCTACAAGCAGCTTTGCTGTGGTTCTCCTCTCCTTACCCCAGTAGTCTCTCCAGAAAAGGTTGTGGAATTGGAACTGGATGGGAAGATGGGACTGGAGACTCCTTCCTTTATATTTGGGTTTGGGATTTTTTGGGAAGCTGAAGATTATCTTCCAGTAAGGCCATACAAACATTGTTGACCACTTTCTTCCCTGACCCTGATATTCCTTATAACTGAGTGTACAATTACTCATGTCTAGAGGAAATTCTTTCCTATTATTCATCATCTGATAAATGATAAATTATCAAGCTCAATTGCTGCAGCTACAACATTGCCAGATGTCTGCCAAAGTGGCACGCTGTGGAGACTTTTTGTGCTCCTTGGAGAGTTAAGGTACAACCTCTAATGCACTAAGATGTAAATTCTGGACCAACCTTCCCCAAGGTGATACTTCTCAGTTGGGTTAGACTACAACTTTCATCATCTCCTGCAAGCATGGAGCCACTAGAAGCTTTGAACTAGCCAGTTCCCAGCTGGCATTCTGGCTTCCAGATAAATTAGCCTATAGCTTCCATCACTCTGACAATTAGCTGTGTTTTCTAGGGTGAGAGGAACTGTAATCCAATATATCAAAAGAGTCTTTAGAGACTTTGGGTAAAACCCAGAAGATAGAGACCTTCTAACTGCTCTTGGCAGGGATGCCCCCGGGGTGTCCCCAGGGTGTGATCAAAAAAGTCAAGATGGTGCAATTGAAGCTCCACCTGTTTTTTATGTGCAACAGGTTAAGCTTCTATCACACTATTGTGGCTCCCATCTTGATTTTTTGATCACTCCTGGGGGAGACTCCTGCCTCATGGTAACATTTTTCATAGATTTACCTTCTTTCTACCAATATTTAGATGTGCACATATGTGTATGAATGGAAGAAAGGAGAAGGGAGGGAGGGAGGGAGGGAATGGGAAAAAGTGAATGGAGGAAGGAAGGAAGGCATTCTGTATTGGTTACAATAAACGGACTTTTTTCTTGGAACCGACTTTTGATTTGATGAGTTTCAACATTTTTATTATATTATATCTACATTTTATGCTCAGCTGCCTTGTAGTGAAAAGGTGGGACACACATTTAATGGAAAAAATAAACAGCTGTGTCTCATCACCCGCTTAATGATAAAATTTGGCTGCTGGTCCTACAGAGACTGCTTGTTGTATCTTTGCTTGAGTAGCTGTTCTGAATTAGTTTCCTTTTTTCCCAGCTTCCTTATTTCATTCAGTATTTTGAAAAAAAATATCAGTAGAAAGAAAGTCAAAAAAATATAGAACATGTATGAAAACAGGAAATAAGGTATAAATAGTAAAGCACAGTGACTAAACAATGTATCTAAGGCAATGATCTTCAAACTTGGCAACTTTACGATGCACGAGAGATGAAATCCACGCATCATAAAGTTGCCAAGTTTGAAAAACACTAATCTCTAAGCAAAACACAAATATTGTTATTGGATTTAAAGCTAAACGTACCCAGTCGACGCAGTAGAAATCCCTAACAAAACTATAAGCAATAAACAGTACATTAAGTCAATACTGGAATTTTAGATCAAATTAAGATGCAATTCTATAGATAACAAAACCCAAATAGAATTCAATTCCTTTCTACCCACAGGCCCAGCCAGGAGAGTGATGTGCACAGAAATACAGAGCATGAATTCTCATCTTTCTTGACCATCCTAGAAACCAACTTTTCTGGGCATGCACATGAATCATTGAATCACAAACATGAACTGGGCTGTGTCAGCCATTGAATTCCTCCTCCTCCTCCTCCTCCTC